ACTGCCTCCAGAAGAAGGAGGAGAAGGAGAAAAAGAATTAAAATGGACTTTAGAGGTTGGGGATAGAGCTCAGTGGTAGAGTGCCTACTTAGCATGTACAAGGCCCTGGGTCCAATCCCAATCACTGAAAAAAAACCCTAAAAAAACCCCAAAAAACCATAGCCTATCTACTTTGGACAGTACCAACAAAAGTGGTCCTTTGTCTTCTTGATTGGGTGAACATGATGCCGCTTTGTCACATTGGTAAAGATAATCTTAATTAACTGAGATGCTAGGTTTGACTAATCAAGACACTGTCTAGAAGGTTTCTCTACTGTGTTTTTTCTCCCCTATAAACTAATAAATAGTTTATTGAGAAATGCTTTAGGATTGTATAAATATCTCATATTTTATACCACTTCTACCCTCCAGTTTTAGCATTCATTCATATCTCTTGTTTGAGTTACTTGTAACTCTAGTGATTGTCAAATGGTGGGCTTCTAGTTCCATCATTCATTTTACACCTATTAGTTGACATTCCACAGGGAGGGTAAAAGAAGGAAGTTAAGAAGGTGAATATGGTTGATGTATTCGCTATACAAGAATGAATATATAGTTTTTAAACCTGTTGAAATCACCATAAAAATGGGACTAAGGTAGAAAGAAGAAAAATAGAGGAAACGAATCAATTTGAGTTATAACACATATATACATGGAAATCCCTGTGCAGCTATCTTAAATGAACAAAAATGTCAGGGTTTCGTCTTTCTTTAACAAAATTGGAGAACAGGAGGGTAGAACAGGTCCTGCGAGAGGTGGGGGGAACCAATGGGAGGTGAAAGGAGGTGGGGAAAGGGTGTGAGAGGGTGAACGTGGTACAAATACTGTGTACACATGTATGTAAATGAGAAAATGAAACCTGGTGAAACTATTCCAGAAATGAGGAGGGGAGAATAAAGAATGTTGGAGGGGATTAATTCAAGTATGATATATTTGATATACTGTAAAAACTTTTGTAAATGGTACGATGTGCCCCACCCAGCACAACGATAAAAATAAATGTAAAAAAAAAAGAATTTTCCATTCGTTCTCACCCACTTATTCATTTATTTCTATCAGTGTCACTCAAGGATTTTTATTGTGTTCAATAGGTTATAATCGTTTACCATCACCATTATTTCGATGCTTAAATTCTCCAGATTTAGCCAGGAGGAGCTCTGCTCGGCAGCATCTGTGTCCTTTAAGGCATCACATCACTCTTGAGGACTTCCTAACTTTGTGGCACAGCAAGAGTTTTCAACTCTGGCCCCAGAATGAGTCATTTCTTCAAAGAACCCTGATTCTCATTTTAGTAGAGTGGTATTCAAGCGTTAAGAGATGCACGCTGGCTCTAATCACTACAGTACCACTCTTTCCAGGACCACTGAGAAAGGGTGAGGCAGGGTACGTATGAGGAAGGGTACGTGACAGCAAATCTGCTCTTCTTTCTAATTCAAAAAACAGAATTACCATCTGTTCACACACATACACACTTACATTTATATTAACTTCTGTATTTATCTACACATACTGAAAATCATCAGTTCACACTACTATCTCCAATGTTCCAGTTCCAATCCATTCTACCCATTTCTATATGTACTCCTTCTTTCTCCATCCACAGTGATGCTCCTCTTATATCAATGTGTTCACTTATCTGCGTTCACTTATATTGCCTGCACATAGCCAATCTCCTGACGCCCAACTGGCCACCATCACAACATGGCTCAGGTGTGGTTCCCAGTCAAGCATTTTAAAAGACTTGCTTCTATTTCCTGCCTCTACTTCCTCACTTTCAATCATTCATAGACCCACTGCAATTTAATTTCCTTTCTGGTCAAGGTAACCAGTGATCTGACCAACCTCAAGCTTCTTTCTGTGTTCTTCTCTAACAGTGAGCTCTCTTGTGGCATTTCATGCTCTTAACATTTCCTGCCTCTTAGAATACTCCTCCCTCTGGCTTCTGTGAATCCCCACTCAAACTGGTTTTCCCTCTACATCTTTGACCATTCAGTCTTATTTCCTCTCTGGGCTCCCCACTACCATCCTTATTTATTATGATTCCCTGAGTTTCTGTCTCTCTGTGTAGTCCTTGAGTTCATTCCATTTCATGGCTACAAACACCTATATCCTATTGATTAGCACATTTATATATCCTTTATCCAGTTCTAATTTCCATTTCTTTTATTTTTTGTTTTTAAGACAGGGTCTCACTATGTAGCCTAGACTGACCTTAAACTCCTGATCCTCCTGCCTCAGTCTCCCAAGTCCTGGGATCACAGGTGTGTGCCACCATGCCTGGTTTCAGTTCTAATTCTTAAACTCCAGACCTATATAATGAAAATCTTGTCAAATATTGGTCCTTGAGTATCTCTCAATCAATCTACATAAAACACATTTAACACTGAAATACTTTAATTTCTACCCTTCCATCCCCTAAACCTGTTCTTTCTGAGAATTTAGCTCAAAGAACTAAATTGTTCTTCCCAGCCCAAACTGGCAATCAACAAACCTTTATTAGCCCCTCTTCTCCTACCCCACATCGTTACACTTAAGGATGTTACTTCCCAGATCTCTTTCAAATTTATCCTTCATCAATTCTGCAGACCAAGCAATTATCACCTTCTGCCTGAATTACCACCCTAGTCTTCTAACTGGCCTCCCACTCTTGCCCTTCTTCCTAGCTAAGCTACACAATCTTCATGAAACACAAATGTGACCACTACTCCCTTCTTAAAAACCTTCCAAAGAGCCAGGCACCAGTGGCTCATGCCTATAATCCTAGCTACTTGGAAGGCTGAGATTGGGAGATTTGCCTGGGCAAAAAAATTCATGAGATTCCATCTCAACCAATAGTTGGGTGCAGTGTACTCCTGCTATTCCAGCCTACAAATGACACTGAGATTGGGAGGGTCATGGCTCCAGGCCAGCCCAGACAAAAAAAAAAAAAAAAAAAAGGTTGTCAGATCCCATCTCAACAGAAAAAAGCCTGGCTATAGTGGCATGCACTTGTCATCTGAGCTATGGCAGGAAGTTTAAATAGGAGGAGTGCAGTCCAGGCTGGCCTGGGCAAAAAGTGAAACCCTGGCTCCAAAACAATAACTAGAGCAAAAAGGGCAAGAGGCATGGTACAAAGCCTTGGAGTTCAAACCCCGAAACTGCCGAAAACAACAAGAACATAAAAACTCTTCCAAACATCCTCACCACTCCCAGGACAGCACAGTTCCTTTCAATGGCTTACGTGGTCTAGCCTGCGTTGATGACATTATCTCCTGTCCTTCAACTTCAACCTAAACACAACCACATTAGAATTTTATTCACTTCTACAAACACACATGCTCCTTCGAGTCCCTCTGCTTTTCTGCTATACTACAAGTTCTACTTGTCCATCAGGACATAGATATCACCTTCTCAGGGATCTTCCCAGAATGCCCCACTCTGTGCTTCCATAGAACTCGCCATTTCTCTACAGTGTTCATCATCCTTTATTACAAGTACTTGCTTAAAAAATTGTACTTTCAATCAGATTGTTAACATTGCTAAGTTCTCATTTAAAAAATGGAAGCAGTGTCTTATTCCCAGACCTATCATCAGTGCCTAGCATAGCAGCCAACACACAATAGGTGCTCTAATTATTAACTGAATGAATGAAACGCAAGGGTAACAAACTCTACAACAGCACATTTCACACACCTGCATGAATGCAGGTTGTGGGGCAATACACCTTTTTCACTGCTATTGCTGCTCAATTCATCTTTTTAAGTGGAATGAACAATGATGCGACCATGTTGTCTTGAATGAAAAAAGAATTAGTTGCCGCATAGAGAAGAAGACAGAAGTTCTTATTCTTTTCCTGTAACAAATTGGAATGACTTGTCACTTTTTACATTTTCATGAAGACAACAAACAACAAGTTATCATGTGAGACAGCACAGATCCTATACCGAGAGGACAAGAATAAATGTGATCATTCTGTTCCTTCAGACAAGTCCAGGACATTCTCCTTTTGTATTTTGTGCATACTGCACACATATGCACACCTTCACACTGCCTTGGAAGAAAAGTAGCATGATAGAACAAAAGAAAGATAGAAAATGAGCTCTTAAAGGCATATCTCACACTCAGGATGGTGTCTGGCCCACAGGAGAGGTGATTCCAAATGTGAGAGATGACACCAGAGGGCAACCTCCACCAACTATAAACACTAGAGCTTGACATCAGGGGAAGGAGAAAATCTATCAAAAGGATTGATACTGTTATTCTTTACTGTAAGACAGATCAAAGTTACCTTATTTTTACTCTCTTCATTTTACATATAAGAAATGGCACTTGAAGGATTAAGTAAGTAGCCTATAGCTAACAAATAATACGATATAGTATCCTATCTTAGTGCTGTATCTCAACTTAGGCAGGACTGAAAAATTAGAAAACACAAGTAGAAACATGTTATTTTAGAAAATGAAGATGTGGCAAAATAAATAAATAAATAAATAAATCAGTAGAAGTTAAAATTTTTTGGTTCTGGGGATTAGGAAGTAGGAATAAGAAGAGTTAGGCAAGGGAGTCCAACTTTTCATATGAATCCTCTAGCAGTATCCAAGCTTTAAAATTATACACATGTTACTTACATAAAGTAGGATTTTAAAGCACAGAAAGAGAAGAGCTGGAGGTGTAACTTAATGGTAGGATGTTTGTCTAGCATGTGTGAGGTCCTCAGTTCAAATCCCAGCATGGAAGGGGAGGTATGAGAGAGAGACAGAGAAATGAAAAAGCACAAATGGAGATGAGACTGTTGCAAAACAATAGGTAAAGTCTGATCCATTTAAAAAATATAATACATACATACGCCTTTGAATGCTATTACTCTGAATTGCAAGGTTATAGATTCTGCTGGTTTCTTATTTTCCTTCAAAGATTTGTATTGCCAATTTATCAGGAAATATAGTGTTTCTTTTTTTTCACAAAATAGTTTATTTTCTTACCTTGGCTGAATTTTCAATATTTAAGCCTCCATCCAGTTCAAAAAGAATTGTCATGTTGTACCCAGTTTGGTTTCCATGTCCATGAGGCCACCAAGTTTCCACAGCAATATTCTTTCAAGAAATGAGATAAGTCACTCCAAATAAGGTGACATATTTTCAGAAAAATAATATGACTCACAGCACTGTGTCAATTTCTCATATAGTCAAACCCAGAAACTCTGGGTTCTAAAACAGTATAACACTACTTACCTATATTATTCCAAATCATAGCAATGCACTAATAATATTTTAAAGTCAATATTCTGGAAGCTTGGCACAGATTAATACACCAAAATGTTAAGGAAAGAGCAGAATAACACGGGTGTTAAGAGAAACACCTCTTCCCATCTCTAACTCTCAAGCTTACATTTATCCTATACTCATAACACATAGAATTAGACTTGGAAGTGGATGCAGCCTAGAACTAGGAGTGTAGAGCCCTTACTTTATCTCAACATTTACTGAATGTTATTTTTCGCCATCATTTTTTTTTTTTTGGTCCACAATTATCAATCAGCACAATAGAAAAAGAAAATCCTTCTTGCCCTTACAATGAAAGAGCATGAGTTTAAAATTAGAATTCTACATGTAGAATAAATATCAATATTCAAAATAATTGAAAAGTACCAGAAATAATCACTGTACTTAAATATAACACAAAGAAGTTAGGTGTGGTGGCACGTGCCTATAATCCCAGTGCCCGGAGGCTGAGGCAGGTGGATTATGAGTTCAAGGCCAGCCTGGGCTACACAGTGAGAACTTGTCAAAAAGAAGTAATGATACATATTATATGTTATATGTAATGCATATAGTGAATTTTGGACCTAGGATACTACAAATACAGTAGAAAAAATTAAAATATAACTGGCTTCTTAAGAAAAGTTGCCAAATTAATCACATTTCTCCATTTTCTTAATCTTAAAATTTGAGATAATCAATCCTAAGCTCATACTCACACAAAATACATAAGAAGATAAAAATGGAGGAGAAAATTTAAAAAATGATTAAAGTAGATACTTTTTTTTCATATTCAGTCCCTTCTTTCTATTCATTTCTTTTGAATAGCAATTGCTTTCATCCAGTGCTTCTCAGGAAGTCCCATCACTCACCTTGTTAATTTTCACAACTAACTCAACAATCCTCTCCCCATGTTGAAGTTCAATGTTGTATGTCTGCTCTGTTTGTAGTTTAGGAATGGCTATGGTCACTCGACCACCAACTGGCTTTGAGCTGACAACATCAAAAGAAGACTCTATTTCAAGATTCCACTCCTGGGCAGTGCTATCTAAAGCATAAAGAGAAAAAAGGAAAAAAAAATATATATATATACAATATGTGAGGCATTATATATATACAATATGTGAGGCATTATCCCCTGTATGCCTCAGGATTCATTGAAGATAAAAACCAAAGCAGCTTCTAAACCAGTAAATGCTTCACAATGCTGTCATAATAAGAAGTTCGGTGGAAATGTTCTTTTAATCTATAGAGATTAATTCTTCATTCTGAACAATAAACAAAATTATATATTTTATACAACCTTCCACTCTACATGGAAAATTAAGCAGTTTAGGTTCACAAAATGCAGTCTTAAATAATAAGTAATTTTCCTAATATTATTAGGTCACTTACCTCTTTTTGCTTGCTAACTTAAAAATGTATAGTTCTATTTCTAGTTAAGGAGAGGCCCATCTTATAATTAGGATCCTTGTCTAAAAGAGTTTCCTATCATATCTTTTCTAGCATCTACAAGTTACCATTTCTTACAGAACACCTACTAGCTCTCTTGGATGCAAGATAATTTCAAAAGTAGACAATGCAAGAAAAGTAGCACTGTGGATAAGGGCAGGAAAGGATTTATACATCATCCAGAATCACCTACAGAGTTCATCTTTTCCACTTTCACCAAGTTTGGCATCCTCTCATCCTGACGCTCTAGGCCTGAACAAGACAGGAACTCCTGATCAAAATATGTGGATAAGTAAGATGCCCATTCTCTCTACAACAGGATGCCCTCCTCAGCCTGAAGGCTCAGTTCTCACTGGCGTCCTGTGCCTGTGCAGAAGGGCATTCAGTTCATAGTTTGTTCAGATGACCTCAACCAGGAAGGCAACCCAGAGGACAGCAGAGAATGTGGTTCTCACCACTGACTCATTTTAAAGTTTTCCCAGACCAACTCAGCAAGGGTTCTTGATAGGAAGGAAGGAAAGGAAAAGAGGATGGGGCAGAAGGAAGGAAGAAAAGAAGGAAGAAAGGGAGGGAGGGAGAAAGAAGGACATATGTATCTGACCTGGATGGGAATTTGTAGGAAATTACTAAGCAAATACATAGTCCAAGTTAATGACTGCTGCTTCTTCATTCAAAAGATCAAAGAATCATTAAGACATCTCTAGTTTGTGCCCAAAATATTAGATTTTTAAATCTCAAAAGAAGGGCTGAAGATGTGGCTCAGTGGTAAAGCACTCACCTACAAGAAGCCCTGGGTTTCATTCCCAGTACTAGGAAAAAAAAAAGTTCTCTTAAGAATGCAGCTATTATATTCCTACACAGTCTACTCCTTTGTGAGGATGTGCAAGATATTACTAGAAAGAAGGGAAGAATGAAAGAAATGGATTTTTCAGTTGTCTAGAAGAAAAAAAAAGAGACACAGAAAGTAAAAAAATAAAAAGATGGTTGAGTTACACTAATTCAAGTGTGCCAATAAGTGACAAGAAGGCATGCTCTCAGACTGCATCCTAAGCCTTGCTCTAGTTGATTGTAATAAAGCTTCAAGTATCAATGTCACCACCTAGTCCTATGTTTGGCTTCAAGGGAAACTGTTCTTCCACTCACACTCACTAGGATGTACTGGCACGACTAACTTACAATCAAAGAAAAAGAACCAGAGTGTCAGAGGCAGAAGAAACTTGGAGTTTTCCTAGGTACTTTGCAGATGACAATTCTGAGCCCTGACTGCAGTCCTTGCTCAGGGTCTTCCGAGTTAATGGACAGGACAAGGACCCAGGCTTCCTGGCTCCATTGCTTGCTACTTCCCATAGGCTTCTTGTGAAGGTGCCTACCAAAAAGAACCACACTGATTGAAATTTGTATGTGAATGGTGAGGAAAAACAAAAGCAAAGGTCCCCTTTGCCTTTAAGAGTCCAAGTCCAATATCAAATACACGCAATGTGAAACAAAGCATTACGTGGTTCTGCAGCAACTCCACTCCTAAAAATACTATTTTTGTCCCTAAACTATATGAGGAGGGCATGAAAACAGCTTTGTGAGCATTTCTGTCAAACAAGTGAAAGACACTTCTTGAATAATTACTGCCAGTAAACCTTGACAGGCACTATTAAATATACCCCAATTTCAAAAACCAAAAAAAAAATGCTGTTTCTAATTCTGAAAATGCATTAGAGAAACAAAACATATCAAAAAGGTCACCCTCAGGAATACTGGGTAGCATCCAGCAAGTGGAAGTTCAGAGGCAGGGAACACTTAGGTCAGCTAGGGATGGATCTGCAAACGTTGGTAGTTTGTTTATATAAAATGAAAAAGATGCTTCATTTCGTTGGCAGAAAAAGCTATTCAAAGACGGCTGCCTTGATTAGCTTGGCCCTGCTGAGCTCCTGCAGCTCCCCTCTGCCTGCTCCTTCTTCCTGCATCTTTAATAAGACATGAAAAGCTGCAGGGAAATGGTAGTCCTGTGCATTTAAAGAAAGAGTAATGGTAGCATGCTGCACTGACCAAGTCACAGAATGTGTACATTCAAACACAAGATATTTTCATGGACTCTTCATTAGAATTAGAGGACAGATTTAAGCAGTTGCTTTTCAAAGAGCTAATAGTTGAATGGCCAAAATGGCAGGCTCAGTCAGTTACAACAGCTGTTTTTCCCCTTCTTCACCAACAGAAAGATCTTCTTACCTACTTAGCAGGACAAAAATCCTCAAAAAATGAAGTCAAGGCATAAAGACCCAGAGCAAAAAAAACCTTCAAAAGAAGCATAAGCCACTAAGTTCCAGAGAAGAAAATGTGTCTAAGTAACAATGAAGCTAATGAAAAAAAAAAAAAAAAAGATTATTCAAGCACCCTAACTAACTACCCATAAAGATATTTCAAGGGATCTGACTGTTATTTTAGTGGAAAAGTAATTCAGAGATGAATGAAAAAGTCAGTCAAAAGGAATACATAGAAAAAAATGAATGCCAAACAAATAAAGTACCAAACTAACAAATATTTACTGTATTTTAGTATTTTATGTTCTGTATTAAGCCGTAAGTGAAGGGGTAGCAATACCATTCAACACAGGCCTCTGTTGGGCAGGCCAGCATCTAGCATGTCAAAGACAAGGTCATCTAGAATGAGGGAGGGGGTGCTTCAGGCTGAGATAGTTGTATATTTGGATAGCACAGGGGAGAGCAGCTCTGAAGTGGTGGGAAGTGTCCCAAATAAAGTACCAAACTAACAAATATTTACTGTATTTTAGTATTTTATGTTCTGTATTAAGCCGTAAGTGAAGGGGTAGCAATACCATTCAACACAGGCCTCTGTTGGGCAGGCCAGCATCTAGCATGTCAAAGACAAGGTCATCTAGAATGAGGGAGGGGGTGCTTCAGGCTGAGATAGTTGTATATTTGGATAGCACAGGGGAAGAAGCAGCTCTGAGGTGGTGGAAGTGTCCCAAGCAAGGTCAGAGATCCACATGCCACTCAGCTCAAGAAGTGTGAAAGCATAAACAAGATCGATAGACCCCTGGCAAACCTGACTAAAATGAGGAGAGAAAAAACCCAAATTAGTAGAATTAGGAATGCAAAAGGGGAGATAACAACAAACACCATGGAAGTCTAGAAAATCATCAGAGACTACTTTGAGAACCTATATTCAAATAAATTTGAAAATCTAAAAGAAATGGACAGATTTCTAGATACATATGATCATCCAAAACTGAACCAAGAGGAAATTAATCACCTGAATAGACCTATAACACAAAATGAAATTGAAGCAGCAATCAAGAGTCTCCCCAAAAAGAAAAGTCCAGGACCTGATGGATTCTCTGCTAAATTCTATCAGGCCTTTAAAGAAGAACTGATACCAACCCTCCTTAAACTGTTCCACGAAATAGAAAGGGGAAGGAAAACTGCCAAACACATTTTATGAAGCCAGTATTACACTTATCCCAAAACCAGGCAAAGACACCTCCAAAAAGGAGAACTATAGGCCAATCTCCTTAATGAACATTGATGCAAAAATCCTCAACAAAATAATGGCAAACTGAATTCAGCAACACATCAAAAAGATTATTCACCACGATCAAGTAGGCTTCATCCCAGGGATGCAGGGGTGGTTCAACATACGAAAATCAATAAACGTAATAAACCACATTAACAGAAGCAAAGACAAAAACCACTTGATCATCTCAATAGATGCAGAAAAAGCCTTTGATAAGATCCAACATCATTTCATGATAAAAGCTCTAAGAAAACTAGGAATAGAAGGAAAGTTCCTCAACATTATAAAAGCTATATATGACAAACCTACAGCCAGCATTATACTTAACGGAGAAAAACTAAAACCATTCCCTCTAAAATCAGGAACCAGACAAGGATGCCCACTATCTCCACTCCTATTCAACATAGTACTGGAATTCCTAGCCAGAGCAATTAGGCAAGAAGAAGGAATAAAAGGAATACAAATAGGTAAAGAAACTGTCAAAATATCCCTATTTGCAGACGACATGATCCTATACCTTAAAGACCAAAAAACTCTACTCAGAAGCTTCTAGACATCATCAATAGCTATAGCAAGGTAGCAGGATATAAAATCAACATAGAAAAATCATTAGCATTTCTATACACTAACAATGAGCAAACGGAAAAAGAATGTATGAAAACAATTCCATTTACAATAGCCTCAAAAAAATCAAATACCTAGGTGTAAACCTAACAAAAGATGTGAAAGACCTCTACAAGGAAAACTATACACTTCTGAAGAAAGAGATTGAGGAAGACTATAGAAAGTGGAGAGATCTCCCATGCTCATGGATTGGTAGAATCAACATAGTAAAAATGTCGATACTCCCCAAAGTAATCTACATGTTTAATGCAATTCCCATCAAAATTCCAATGACATTCATTAAAGAGATTGAAAAATCTACTGTTAAATTTATATGGAAACACAAGAGGCCACGAATAGCCAAGGCAATACTCAGTCAAAAGAACAATGCAGGAGGTATCACAATACCTGACTTCAAACTATATTACAAAGCAATAATAAAAACAGCATGGTACTGGCACAAAAACA